CCCAGGGTTGCTACGCAGAGGCAGGCAATGGGAAACCACCTCTGCTCGTCTCCGATCTTGGCCTGTATGGCCCATCCCATTCTGATCTCATCAGACCTCGGAAGCTAAGCAGGGTCGGCCTTGGTTAGGACTTGGATGGGAGACCACCAAGGAAGTCCCAGGGTTGCTACGCAGAGGCAGGCAATGGGAAACCACCTCTGCTCGTCTCCGATCTTGGCCTGTATGGCCCATCCCATTCTGATCTCATCAGACCTCGGAAGCTAAGCAGGGTCGGCCTTGGTTAGGACTTGGATGGGAGACCACCAAGGAAGTCCCAGGGTTGCTACGCAGAGGCAGGCAATGGGAAACCACCTCTGCTCGTCTCCGATCTTGGCCTGTATGGCCCATCCCATTCTGATCTCATCAGACCTCGGAAGCTAAGCAGGGTCGGCCTTGGTTAGGACTTGGATGGGAGACCACCAAGGAAGTCCCAGGGTTGCTACGCAGAGGCAGGCAATGGGAAACCACCTCTGCTCGTCTCCGATCTTGGCCTGTATGGCCCATCCCATTCTGATCTCATCAGACCTCGGAAGCTAAGCAGGGTCGGCCTTGGTTAGGACTTGGATGGGAGACCACCAAGGAAGTCCCAGGGTTGCTACGCAGAGGCAGGCAACGGCACAACCACCTCTGTCCATCTCTTGCCTCCACCTGGATGGCCCAGGCTAGCCTGATTTCATCAGACCTCGGAAGCTAAGTAGGGTCAGTCCTGGTCAGTATTTGGATGGGAGGCCAGCAAGGAAGCCCAGGGTTGCTACGCAGAGGCAGGCAACGGGAAAACCACCTCTGTTCATCTCTTCCCTTGACCTGGGTGGTGCTGGCTAATCCACTCTCATCAGATCTTGGAAGCTAAGCAGGGTTGGCCCTGGTTAGTACTTGGATGGAAGACCACCAAGGAAGTCCAGGGTTGTTACGCAGAGGCAGGCAATGGCAAAACCACCATCTCTTGCCCTGACCTGGATGGCGCAGGCTAGCCTGATTTCATCAGATCTCGGAAGCTAAGCAGGGGCAGCTCTGGTTAGTCCTTGGATGGGAGACCACCAAGGAAGCCCAGGGTTGCTACGCAGAGGCAGGCAATGGCAGGCCACCTCTGTCCATCTCTTGCCTCCACCTGGACCCCTGATCTTCACTGTGTGACTGATGGTAAGCTGTGGCAGCCGTTTTGTGGAAGCCCCCCCCCCCAGACTGTGATTGAGAAAAGCAAGAAGGTCACAGTCCACAGTACAGTAAAGCGAAACACACAAAGGAAACCATGCAAAGATTGCTGCCGTTTCTATCACAAAAGGTGGTTATGATTAGCTTGCCTGCTTTGTGAAAACATGTATTAGAATTTATTCCATGGCTTGGATTAGAAACTGTATAATTTGAGAATGGACGGATCGCCCTTTGAAAAATAAGGAGCGACATCTTTGTGTCGTTGAGCTTTGACGGAGGCTCTACGAAACGGAAATTGTTAATCCGGAGCATTTCGTCGTCATTCCCTTGTGAAGACGTCTTTGATTGCATGTGTGGAAAAAACAAATGGCCTTTCGGCATTACGTGAAAATACAGACTTTTTTGATATAAACGGCAGCAATTTTTGCACAGTTTCCTTTGTGTGTTTCCCACCCCCACCCCCACCCCCATACTGTGTCAGAATTCCAAAGGTACAAACTGGCTCAAGAAGGTCGGGGACCAGAAAGAGCCAGACGTAAAACCATCAGTCCCTCACCAGCTCAGAGCTCGGAAGTAAACAGGGCAGTGACTTTTAACCGAAAAGCCGGAGTTCGTTTTTTGGGTGGGACGCGAGAATGAAGGACAAGCCAAGTTTGCTCTTGGGGCGTGGCTGGAGGGCACGAAACGAGTTCGGCAGGATCTCCTCGTCTGGACTGGGATATTTTCTAACGTCTCATAGTGTCAAGCGGACTTTGCCGAGGTCGTTACCAGCGCTGCCTCTAAGCTGTGGAGTCTTGTGAGCAAAAATGCTACTTTGCGAGCTCCTGGCATTAAGAAGAAGAAGAGATTGGATTTATACCCCGCCCGTCACTACCCAAAGGTGTCTCAGAGCGGCTTAGAAACTCGTCCTCCTCCCCACCACAGACGCCCTGTGAGGTGGGTGGGGCTGAAAGAGCTCTTGACAGAAACGGCTCTTTTTCCAGAACACCTCTTATCAGAACTCGGCTTGCCCAAGGTCATCCAGCCAGGTGCAAGTGGAGGAGTGGGGAATCAAACCCGATTCTCCCAGATTAGAGTCCGCGCACTGAGAGCCAGTTTGGTGTAGTGGTTAAGTGTGCGGACTCTAATCTGGGAGAACCGGGTTTGATTCCCCACTCCTCCACTTGCACCTGCTGATGTGACCTTGGGTCAGTCACAAGCTCTGGCACAGCTGTCCTTGAAAAAGAGCAGTTTGTGTCAGAGTTCTCTCAGCCCCACCCACCTCACAGGGTGTCTGTTGTGGGGAGGGGAAGGGA